TCTCGGCCTTTCATTTTCTTTCTACAATGTAACAATGACATCTAAAAAGTCAGCAAATTCCATATAAATTCCATATAATTGCTATTTCCCCTAATCTTCTCAATTACTTGAGATATTACATTTGCATGTACATTCATTTCTACTAGTATCACTTGAAAGTTTTAACAACTTTCAAGTTGAAAAAGTTGTTAAACTTTTTCATAGCATGCCAGGGACTACCTACTATGAGTATTTTATCTGTTACCAATGACAGAATCCTCATTGCCTGCTTTGAAAATCCCATTTTGGAGGTCTGTTCTCTAGGATCACTTCTGTTATCACCTGTTTTGGGTAAAGTTCTAGGGGAAATTGACTATGAGATAAAAATTTGATTGTAAACAATTTATAGGGGCATGCTCAAAAGAACCCTTGTGAATTGATGAGGGAGGAAAGAATAGCAGAGAAAAAATTGAACTGATAGTGTCACAACGAAGGCCTCAGCTGATCCTTTGGGGAGTTTGGGAACTGAGATAGCCTTTCAAATTTGCCGAGAATTGAAGCAGGAGATCTGACTTTTGTCTATCTACATCATCCCATCATTGGATGTGTGCTGCATAGGCTTAGGAGAGTCAGTTGCCTTCAAATAAGGCCAATTCTGAATTTGGAGAAGTGAGTGCCCCAGACCTGAGAAGATATGGCAAAGGGTGGAGAGTGGTTCTGGGCAGCATAACACAGCCTCCATTTCAATGAATTTAATTGTATCTCTGTTGGCTATCTTTTATCTATTAGTTTTATCAATCTTTAGTATAATTTTAAAAATTATTTATCTTCATTTTCCTTTTTGTCTCGTTGCCAGTTTCTATCATGTATTCCTTCCAAGTTAATCTTCATTTATGATTTTTTCTTGTTTTCATGATTATTTCCTTAGTCCTGTTTCTGTTTCATAACCTTCTGTTGTTTATTTCTGGGTTCTTTTCCTGACTTATACTGTTTCAAAGCTTTAAATGTTTTCTTTTAGCTCATTTAGAAATACTTAGGTCAGAGTTTTTATCTGCTTTGTGTTTGCATGTTTCTGGTGTGTTCACATCCTATGGGACTTGTCTCTCAAGGTATTAGGCTCACCTTTGGAAGTTTATTTTGCTGTCATCATACTTTCTGGGATTTGATTTCTCTGGATTCTTCCTCCGTTTGCTACTATCTGAACTTTACTTTTCCCTTCCCTACAATATTTCTTCCCTGTTCAATTTGATTTCTGAAATAAGCAGTTTTCTTTCTGCATGAGGATTTTTTTTCTTCTGGAAGAAAACATATGCTGAATAGTTGTGAAATCCTTAAGGGACTAGCTCACCATAGCTCTCTATGAACTCTTGATGATTCTGTGCAGTTTTCTTTACTTATCTGTTATTCAGAACCTGTGATCACTTATTCCAATGTTTCAACTGCTCTCAAACCTATTTTCCCAGTTTGGTCAAGAAATAATGATATTTCAGATTAGGGTGATGACAGTGAAGATAAACTGAACATTGAGAGATATTTTGGTGATATAATCAAGGGGAATCACTTATGGTCTAATGTAGGAGAGAAGAGATGCTGAAAAATGGTTTTTGGCTTAGGCAATTAGATGAAGATTTTACAGAAATAAGGGAAACTAGATGAATAATTGGTAATGGCAGATGAAGGCATTCTATTTGTCTATATTAAGCTTGCAGCACCTATTAGATAGCCATGTAGATATATCAAATAAATCAGTCTTTGAACTGAGAGAAAACAGTGTGCTTATATGTCCTTTGGGAAGCCTTTTCTGAATGCCCTCTTCCCATCCCATTAATTTTATTACCTTTGCTGCCCACAGCATCCTTCATCACTTTGATTGAAGCCTTTATCAAATTTATTTTGTAATTGCCTATTTATTGGTCCACTTCCTCTGTTGGATTGTGAGGTTTTTGAAACAGAATCTGTGTTCATTCTTTTTTCAGTTTCCTTCCTGGAACAATGCTGACAGTCAGCTCTTACTTGTTCAATGCATGCACACAAGAATGTCAATTCTATTTTTTCTACAGCTCCAATTTTTGAAAAATATTTTCCAAATTTGGCCTCTCTGTATCTTCTACCCACTTCAGGATTTATCTCTGAAGTTAGATACTTTTAACTTGTTCCAAATATTCTCTTATATATTTGACTTAGACCGTATGTGTATTTTATGTCTGGGTGAGCATATTAGTCTTTCAAACTAAATGCGTAATAAAATCCTCAACACTGTTTTCACATATATCTTAAATTATGTCTCCACAAATAGATTTTTGTATTGAAATACCTAAATGTAGGATTTAATATGTATATCATTAAATTTCATCTTAGTGAATTAAACACAATTCCAGGAGTGGAGATCATTTGGGATCCTACACATAAACATCTTGACTTATATATATTCTTACCTCTAAGTACTCAGACGCAGAAGTTGGAAGCATAACAAAAGTGCCAATGTTGGGCTCCAGACCCTTGTTCAACCCTCAACCAAAAAATTATGTTTTTAGGTTAATGTAAAACTTGTTTTATGGTGAGGTCAATGTAAAATTTATTTTTGGCAAAAAATTGTCTTAAAATTTTTGAAAACCATTTTTCTAGAGCAAGTCACTGGTGCATGTCCCTAGACTGTAATCAATACTACATCCTTTTCTCTCTGTCTACTCATTATCCAATTTAAATGGTTTTAATTTTGTAAGTTTGCATGATTTATCCACTATAGTTTAAAAATGGGTAATTTTTATGAATCATTGTACCTACTTATTTTAAAAAGATCAGAGTAATTTGGTATCTTAATGAATAGTCTTATGATATATAGTTTTGAGTCCTCCTCAACTTTAAACACAAAATAAACTGTTGTGAAAGAATTTGTCAATTTAACAGATGCTGGCAATTCAATTGATCTTGCACTTTGTGAAAAAATGCTGCATTTCGTGGTATGCTCAAAAAAGGTAACTGGCCGATTTGTGCTTGGTAATTCAGTCTATGCATTCTACCCTGGTTATTCTTTCCCTTTTCCTTTCACCAATACACCAAATGTATTTAAAAGGGGGGATGATATTGTACCATAAAATAATCTTACAACAACAGTCCCATGGAAGAAAAGAGGATTTGGGAACCATCTAACTCCATTTAGGACTATTTACTCAACTAGGTATAAATCCAGTCAATGATACTATGCTTCAGCTCACACTTACTATTTTATTTAAATTGCAAAGAACAAAAACAACTATTAAATCCCTTGTCTAAATGCAGATATGTCACCAACTAAATTTGTTATTTTTAAAAAATAGACACAGGATCTCACTATGCTACCTAGGTTGTTCTTGAACTCCTGGGCTCAAGTGACCCTTCTGTCCCAGTCTCCCAAAGTGCTGGGATTATAGGCATGAGCCACTGTGTGGAGCATAAATTTATTTTTTGATAGAATTAACATATGAAGGGCATACTAAAGCCTATTTTTCGTATTCCTGGTGACTCAAGTTGGATTCTAATGGTATTCTCACAAGTTCACAAAGCAACTTGATGATACAACTGAGACCAGAATCCTGGAATTTGGGTTCACAGGCCATTACACTTTCTACTATCCCAAATACTTACAAGAGGGACTGCTCATAAATAAAGAGAGCACCAATGTAAAAAAAAAAAAAACCTGACAAAATCAAACAATTCAAAGGTAACATCCTCTGGCCCTTTACCACTTACAAATTCTTCCTTCTTCGGTTTCAAGTATTTAATTCGTAACATTTTCCTAACCTAAAACTGACTTTGAGACTGAATATCAGCTTCTATGAGGTAAGATGTAGAAAAAAACAAAATTATTACAATTTCACCGTGTGATCTCCCCAGAGGTATTAAGTGCAAACTGTTTAAGTATTGCCCCTCCAACTTCCAAAATAATCATCTTTGGATGGGAAATGATCATTTACATAAAACAATATGTAGAAATTAAAACACTTTAATATAAACATTTCCAGAATATAGACTGACTTTTTATATCAGCACTTTTTGAGAGCTTTTAAAACTATATATCATCTAAGTTTATTATAGACTGTTTCATTTTCCGTGTTCAGAACTAGAAAATGCAAAAAATACACTGCAAATTAGATTGAATAAAGAAAAAAACAATCAGCTTGTTATTTCATACATATTCCTTGAAGAAAGCGGAGACACATAAACACAGGAAAACAACAATAGAATGCCACCAACACTAAAGCAAAACCAAGCAAAGAATTGATTTTGTAATGCTTGGCAATTCTGTCCTTTAAAATAAATTATCTCCCATGAGCAAATAATTCATTACCAGAGCAATTTGATGAGCAGAAGTAGACACAACTTCATTTAGGAAAACTACATTATATATGAGATATGTGAGAAACATTTAATATTTTTTTTCTTTTTTAAGAAAATGAAGGAAAGTAACGAGGAAAAGGCATATTGAATACTTTGACTTCACTTGGCTCTTTTAGAGATTAAAGTAGCCATCTACCTAGAAAAATTCCAATAACATGAATTTTATGAAAGCAAACTCTTTAACTTTTTTCTTCAACTTTGAAGGAAAAAACTAAAAAGTTAAAAATCCTAGAGTAGACTCATCCCAAATCACTGTCTCTTGTGTCTTTTCTTGAGTAGATTTCTTTTTCTCTTAACTTCTTGTGTTCTCATGTTAGTGTTCAGGGGCTAGGTTTAGGCTTTTTTGTTGTTTCTTCTTTCAATTAAATTACAAGTTTTTTAAAAAATAGCTTTCCTGAAGTGACACTGACTGTTTCTACCTATCCTTTTCTTCATCTGATCCTCTTGCATTTGTCTAAGTCCATTTTCTTAGCTGACTTTCTCAATTAATCCTTGGATAAACAAAACTAAAAGTTCAATACACAAGCGTAGACTCATTCCAAAACACAGACTCTTCTCTTTTCTTTAACAGTTTTGCTTTTCTCTTATGTTCTCCTTGAGTTTTTATGTTCTTTTTCAGATATTAAGTTTAGGGTTTTTTTTCCTTCTTCTTTTAATTCAATTTTAATTTTTATACAAAAAAACTAAGTATCCTGAACTGACACTGACTATATCTACCTCTTCTTTATCAGATGTTGCGGTCTTTTTCTAAATTCATACTGTTTTTTCAATTCAACTTTGGGTAAACAAAACTAAACATTCAAAATCCAAGAATAGACTCATCCCAAAGCATTTCCTCTTCTGTCCTTTCTTCAACAGATTTCTTTTTCTCTTTCCTGTGCTTACGTTCTTCTTTCTCAGAAGGTACATTGTGGCTTTTTTTCTTTTTTCGATGCTTAAGCTTTCCTGAACTGACCCTGACTCTATCTCCCTCTCTTTTCCTTTGTCGGATGCTCTTGTCTTTGTCTAAATCTGTATCTTCATAAGTCTTTTTCCTTTTATGCTTGGACTGTTCTTTCTCTGGCCTTTCTTTGCCTTCTTCCAGGTGTCGTCTTCTCTTCTGATGTTTCCGTTTATGACCCGCTTGATGGTCAGTAGTATTGTTTTCTGGGGAGAGGTGCTTGTAAACTTCAGATTCCACACTGTATGAGCCAGAGTTATTTTCTTGCTGATTAAGGCTCAAGAGTACTGGTTTTTCTGGGAAACAGTCTCTGGTGAGTTGACAGTAGCTAATAGAATCTAGTCTCTGTTTGCCGTCATAAGCTGATAAACAATGAGGTAACTGGTTTTCCACTGCTTGTGAAATACTGTATGGTCCTGAATAGGCCTGGAAAGTCTCAAATGGGATCTTTTCCTCCAACATTCTATGTCTAGGTCTGGCATCAACCATTTCTCTGTTCTGTGTTTCTACAGAGCTATCACCTATCTTTCTGAAACAAGTTTTTGGCTCTAGTCCTCTGGCTTTCTGCACTTTTATGTAATCTTCAAGTTCATCTTGGAAAGAATCATATGTCCTCTTTGAATGAGCTGGTAACCACTGAGGTAACTGGCTTTCCACTGGTGAAATATGGTATGGTCGTTGGTAGGTCTGAGGAGCCTCACGTGAAAATCTTTGCTCACACATTCTTGGTCTGGGTCCAGAATCAACCTCTCTGTGTCCATGAGTATCCACAGAGTTCTCTCTCATCTTTCTGAAACAAGTCTTTGGATCCAGTCCTCTGGCTTTCTGTACTTTGATGTAATCTTCAAGTTCATCTTGGAAAGAGTCATATGTCTTCTTTGAATGAGGCAACTGAGTTTCCACTGCTTGTGAAATATTGTACGGTATGGGGTATGTTCGGAAAGTCTCAAATGGGAGTCTTTGCTCAAACATTCTATGTCTGGGTCTGGAATCAACCACTTCTCTGTATCTGCACGTTTCCAAAGAACTTTGTTCCATCTTTCTGAAACAAGTCTTGGGCTCTAGTCCTCTGGCTTTCTGCACGTTGATGTAATCTGCACATTCATTTTGATAAGAGTCATGTGTCTTCCTTGAATTCTTCACTAGATTGATAACAATGGATTCTCTGTAAAGAAGACAGTAGAAAATTCTTGTTATTAGATTATTTTATACTGAATATTTTCTTTGCTCTTAAAAGTATTAGTCTGAAAAAAGAAAAAAAAATGCTCAAATTTTAAAAACCTACTTCATTATAAAAGCTATAAATCGTCAATTTTTATGCCAAAAAAGCAGCATGAACAGTGAGAACCTACTTCATTATAAAAGCCATAAATCATGATGTTTTTATGCCCCCCAAAAGGCAGTATGGACAGTGGTATATCTCCCAGGCACCTCACAATTTTTGTGCAAAGAAAAAAGAGGAAACTTCCTCAGGCCCAGGATGAAAGGGAAGATGGATATAAAGGAGCAGACTTATCTGATGTTGTTGTAGCACTAAAAATGTTAAGGCATGTTGGAATGTATGTGTAGGAACTAATGATATTTAATGTCCTCACAGATGCTCTGATTTGACTGTCATATTGTTTTTAAAGTTTTCATTAGTGAGTTCCTTATATATATCTTATAAATGTGATAGGTATTTATTCTGTAATCTTGAGGTTTTTTTAAAGTCTAAATTATAAATCTAGCCAGGTGAGGTGCATGCACCTGTATTCCCAGCTACTGAGGCTGAAGCAGGAGGATTGCTTGAGCCCAGGAGTTCGAGGCTGTACTGCACTATGATGAGGCAAATAGCCACTGTACTCCAGCCTGGGCAAGATAGCAAGAACCCATCTCTAAAAAAAGGAATGTAAATGTAGGTTAATTGGGCAAGTCAGGCAATTTAGCTTCCAAGTATTCAAATTCAAATAATATAAATATTTTCTACTAGAATAAAACAATGTAACAGAAAGAATATGTCTTGATTTTATTTTATTCATTTTATTTTATTTATTTTCTTGAGACAGGGTTTCACTCTGTTGCCCAGGCTAGAGTGCAGTGGTGTGATCATGGTTCACTGCATCCTCAATAACCTGGGCTCAAGCGATCCTCCCACCTCAGCTCCCCAAGTAGCTGTGACCATGGGTGCAAGCCACTAAACCTGGCTAATTTTTCTTTTTTGGGGGTAGAGATAAGGTCTCACTATGTCACCCAGACTTGTCTCAAACTCCTGGGCTCTGCCTCCCACAGTGCTGGGATTACAGGCATGAGACACCGGGCCTGCCTCTATGTCTTGACTTTAAAAGCATCAAGACAAAGATAAATAGTCAAACACCCTCTGACTTGCTAACTAAACTACCCAGTCTCCAACTGTCCACTCAATTCTCCTCTCCTTGAAATAACAGAATAAAATGGACTAAATATTTATTGAATTTTTAGTATGTGCCAGGGCAGGCACCTTACACATATTATATTTCATCCTAACAATCTTATATAAAAACTATCCAAAGTTACACGCTTGGTAGAAAAATGGATCTGGTATTCTACTCTAAGTCTATCTAACAGCAAGGGCTCTATTCTTAACCACTATATCCCACTGGAAAAATGGTGACTGGATCACTGGCTCACTGAATCCCTGGAACTGAGCAAACCTTCCAGAAATTCTCTGAATTTGGGGGGTTAGTATCAGAGTGATTCTTTAGCATCTCTCCAAAGAATACTGCTCTCTAGTCAGGAGGGGTGCCAGTTAGCCAGCTTTGTCAGTACACTATCATTACTACAGAACTCTCTGAGGGACACTAGTATGCAATAAGTTATAAATACTGCCAACCATACACAGGTTTAATTCATAGGGATATGGATGCCTAAGAAGTTTGTAAAAATACATCAAAGAGTGCTTAACTAGAAGCTCTAGTGTTTGGCACCATAGGAAAATTTTGGCAAAAATACTTACTTAATCTGATGTTCACTTCCTTGCATGTGGGACCGGAACATATCTAAAGATGTAAAAGCAATACTACAAATATGGCAAACATAGGTTCTCATACTAAATGCTGAAAAAACAGAGAGTTCAAGTTAAGAAGGTCAGTATAAATATATTTAGAATCACATAATGTTAGAACTGGAAAAGAATTTATTAAAGACCATCTACTTTACATTTTCCAATAAAGATGGGGCCCAGAGAGGTCAAATGATTTGGTCAAAGTCACAGAGCAAGTTAGTAGTAGTGTTAGCCTCTCAGAGTCCAAGCCTCTTAATTGAATGGCCAGAATTCTTTATACTACACCACACTGCTTCTCTAGCTTGACTTACTCCCTAAAAATCTGCTATCTGTCTACTTATTGTTGCTACATGGAGGTGCAGCAGGCACCTGAAATTTAGCATGGCCAACCAACCTTTGCCTCTGAATATCTTAACCAACTTCTTTTTGTTTGCCTCTAATTCTGTTCCCACCCAACCAAAAGGTGAAATGTCCCAAAACTTTAAAATCAAATAAAGGCAAATTTTTTACTCTCTTACCTGAAATCATTGCAGTGCATTAGTTACCAAAAGTAATTTCCACAGATTTTAGAAAGGAGAGAGGTTCAGTGAGCCCCACTCTCAGGATAAAAGCTGAAAGCAAAATTCTAAAACAAAACTACTAGTTACCACTTAAAAAGAGTCAAGAACTATTATAGTTAGGAATTATATAGTAGCTGGCACACTATTCTGCTTCGTAGAATTAGAATCAAGGAATAAATTAATTTTTATCTTTCTAATCTCATCATCCTTCCACTTCATCTTTGATCAGAAGAAGCAAATTAATACATTTCATAAGCCAAATATAAAATCATTCTGACCCTAAGGAGAAGGAAATAAATTGGTACCTGCAAAGATTTTAAGGACAATCAAGGTCATCTTCTTTTAAACCAAAAAGCGACCTAATCATTTAAAAGAACCTAAATTAATTATTATCAAGTGTATTGGCCATGTCTGAGCAAAGACTATTCATAGAAACAGGAGACTGCTTACAAGGGGAAAGAAAGATGCTGACTTTTCAGAATATGAGACTGCACACTACTGACATATACTCTACTGCAGGCCTAGGAAAACTCAGCAGGTTATGTCAAAACCTGAATGAAATGAACCCTCAAAACTATCCTTCTCTGCGGTCTAATTTCATGTGTACTAAGTCACTTTATGATTATAATTTGGTTTTTCATATTCTTTGATACCAAAAAAAGGATACCCTGGATGATATATATCAAGAAAAACTAGGAAATGGAAATATGTATTTCCTCATACCATAAATCAACACCAGAATAACAATACAATAACTTAAAGTACAATGTTTCCAAGACTTCTCTGATACAAATCACCTGGGGTGTTAGTTAAAAATATAGATTCCCAGGCTCTCCCCTAGAGAACATGACTTAATGTTTCTGGGTGAGGGACAAGAAATTTCTATTATCACAAATATGGCAAATGATTATCACAGGCCTTGTGAAAAACATATTAAAGTAATATTTTTCCAGTTCCTCAGTTATTTATCAGCCTCTTTCAAGTTTGTTTGTGGTTAGTGAGTCCCTGATTGAGGCTGATCAACTTGAGGATTTTGGACTTCCTGCAAAGTTAAGGACTAAACCCAGGAGAGTACACATTCACAAGAAACTCTTAGGAAATTCTTACTATCTTTTATAGCAGCTGTAACTAAGGCTTACATTAACTTGCCAATACATTTTGAGGGTACCCAAGTGGTGCAAGATAAGCAGGAGTCCTGGTTTCCTCTGGATTAATGGTTCTTAATGCTGGTTATACATTAGAATCACATGGAAAAAATTAAAATTATTGATGTTACAGCTCCATATCAGACCAATTAAATCAGAATCTCTAGGAGGAGAATATTGAGTCATGTTCTCCAGGGGAGAGCCTGAAAATCTATATTTTTAACTAACACCCCAGGTGATTTTTATCCTTACTTTTTGAAAGCTTTCCATATGATTTCACTGTCCAGCCACCATTGAGCACTTGCCTTAGATCAAGCTCCTCCAACCTGCAGCCCATGGGCCACATGTGGCCCAGGGTGGCTTTGAATGCGACCCAACACAAATTCACAAACTTTCTTAAAACATATGAGATTTTTATGTTTTTTTTTTGAGCTCATCAGCTATTGTTAGTTTATTTTATGTGTGGCCCAAGACAATTCTTCCAAAGTGGTCCATGGAAGCCAAAAGATACCTCTACCCTAGATTATTGAGCCAATAATCTTCATTATGACTAAAAACTCAGGTTATATTTCAGTTTTTACATATTTATTTAGTGCTTATAAAGTATACTGGATATATGTTCGCCTCAGTTCCTGCTTTGTTTCTCCACAAATTACATCAGAAACAATATTCTAACAGAGGTAACATAGAGGTTTAGAAGAACTGCCAGTCATGTATGAAAGACCCAGAGGCAGTTCTAGAACTGTGTAGTCTGATTAGCATTACCTTAGCCCCCCACTTTTTTTTTCCCCACATACTGATGTTCTTTATCTTTTTCTAGGATTCAGACATCTCAGAAAATGATATATAAAAGTTGTGTAAATCCTTTCTGTGAAGATATGAAGCCTATTCATTGGCCCTAAGGTCAGAATTCATGATTGAATCCTCCTGGGGCCTGCCTCCATTATGTTTCTTATACTCTCCACTCTTTTATTCCAGAGACTACTCCATGGTCCTGTCCTGTTCTCAGCTGTTCTGTTCTCAGGTATTCTAGGATTCCTTGTTCCTGAGTTCATCCAGAAACTCAGGCTCCTTTGCATCTTTTACCTTTCAAAATCTTCAATAACCTAATACTTGTGGGGCCTACTCTTCCCCTCATCGTAGCCCTATCTTACAAGTCTCTGAACTAAGGTCCTTGTTTTCAAAGCATGAATTGGGAAGGTGCATGTCTAACACTACTCTCAATCTTGGCTCCATATAAAAATCACAAAGGGAGTTAAAAAAGAGAAAACAAAACACAAATTATAAGTCCCAGAGATGGTAATTTAATTGATTGAAGGGATGGCCTGAGCAATGGGATTTCTAAAAGCTCCTTGCATGATTCTAATTAGTCAAGATTGAGAACCACTGGTCTAACACCTTAAATGGGGAAAAACCAATCGAGAACTGCACATAATCAAAACTGCAGCTGTCAGGAAGAATAGCTAATGGTTACCGGGCTTAATCCCTAGGTGATGGGATGATCTGTGCAGCAAAATCACCATGGCATACATTTACCTATATAACAAACCTGCACATGTGCACATGTACCCATAAACTTAAAAGTTGGAAAAAAACTGCATGTGACTATGGGATTTATGCTATAAAGAAAAATAGAAAATGTCCAATTTACCTATTTTTAAATTATGACAGGACAAAATATTTTTACAAACCTAACATTTGTTACGAACCTATTCTTTGATGGGTATTATATATACTACTTCAGTTAATTATTATCCTGTGGAGTCACAGTATTTTCATTTTATATCAGAGGATCTGTGGTGCAATTTGGCAAGTGACTATAAGTGTATCTCCAAATCTATGTTTATCCCTCTATACAACACTGCCTCTCAATTTACAAATATGAATTGACAAAAAATTATGTCCTCATTACCATATAAAGCACTAGGAAGGATACTGCAGAATAAAGTGTTCTCCTTTGTCTCAAGGATACTAATTCCCTTGAGGGGCTATAATTGATGCAATTTTCAATGAATAGTAAAGGCTATGAGAAATCAGAGAAAGGGGAGAACACCAAGAACTAGAGCAGTAAGGGAAGTTGTGATGGATCTTTGGGGACAGAAAGGATCTGAATTTGTAAGAAAGCAGGTAAGGGCATTCCAAGGGATGAAAATAATATCAGGTATGGCAGAGACAGAAATGAGCACAATGTGTTGAATCCAAATAATCTGTTTAATTAACACTGAATATCTATGTGGCACCAAGCATCAGGTTAGATGCCAGATGAATACAAGATGAATAAAACAGTCAAGTTGCTCACAAATCTAGTGTGAGAAAGACACATGAACAAAAAATTTCAGTCTCACTTGGTAAAAGTAAAAGAGGTATGTTTAAGAGGTAGACAAACGCAAAGAAGCAGAGGCACTCAGCATAATATGGGGGTCTGAAAAAGGCTATTGTAAGAGATGATGTCTTAGCTAAACTTGGAGAGATGATAAATAGTTAACTTGAAAAGAGTTGAGAAGAGCGTTTTAGGTACAAAAAATCATGAAAACAGTGCTTACAGGAACTTCTTAAAATTTGGGATTGTTGTAGAGTAAAACATAAGGGGAAGAGATGGGAAACGGCAAAATGGGTCAGATCAAAGAGAGACTTATATGTTATGCTAAGGATCCTAGACTTTGTATTCTGTGTTTTGGGAAACCTCGAAGTGGTTTAAGTAGTAAGTGACATGGTTGGTTAATTGTGTGTTTTAGATGAGTCTTTTCTGTGACTGCAATACAAAAGATTAATTTAAGAGGAGTAAGCCTAGAAGTAAGGAGATCAGGCAAGACATAATGAGGACACAGACTAGATGGGTCTCAGTAGGGGTAGAGACAAGCAGGGAGATTGGTATAACATTCAACTTTAAAACTGGCAAAAGTTAATAACGGGTTGAATGTGAGGGATAGGGGAGAGGAGAGAATCTAGAGAAGTTTAAAATAATTCCCAGAAATCTAATGTGGTAAGTGGGTGGGTGGTGATCCCATAAACTGAAATTGGGACTTCAGATATATGTGTTGTTTTAATGGGTAGGAGAGTAGGCAGTGGCGAATAGTCTAAGTTTGAACACAGAGTCTAAGATATCTACCAAACTTTCATGTAAAGGTGTCCAACAGGCAGTTACATTCAGGATTATGAAAGGCAGAAGATAGGTCAGAGAGATTTTGGAGATGTCAGAACATGGATGGGGGTGGGTAGTCAAAATAATCAGAGTGGATGAAATCTCCTGAAGATAATGTATGGGTGGGCAAAGGAATAGCAACATACTGATAAAACCCTGGAGAATGCCATTCTTTGAAGAAAGATGGTAGAGAAGGATGAACCTATGAAAAGTCCACCAAAGCAAAGGACAGCGAATTATAAGAATCAACAGGAGAGAGTAATGTCAAAGGAGCTAAATAAAGATGTCTATTGGATGTACAAATTTAGAAGTCACTTTGGCATTGTGAGTAGTAGTCACAGTGAAGTGGTAGACTAGTGGTGTGAAGGTTGAGGGAATGAGTGCCAACAAATAGCAGTGAGTTGAGCAAATAATAAGTGAAGACAGTAAGAGTGGATTACATTTTAAAAATATCTTGGCTAAGGAGGGAAGGGGAGAATGTAGTAGTTAAATGAGAATTCAGGGTTACAGGAGTATTTGGTTAAACCAAGATACTTGGTAGTAATCCACATCTGATGGTCAAATTTTTTTTGATAAAATAACAAAGGAGCTTGTCTGAGAAGTGTGAGGAGGAGTGTAGAGCAGGGGAAGAGAGTCTTGAAGAATGATGTAGGTTTAAAACTGTTGCTAAGGGGAAAGTGAAGAAAAAGGAAATAGATTAAGTGGGACTAAAGGCCCAAAGAGGTTAGGTACCAAGGCTCTGAAAGCTTACCTAATCCCTATACTTTATAATTTTCCATAGCATCATTCAGTAGGCTTGAATGCAGAAGTAGAAAATATAGAGGGTGGAAATGATCCAGGGTTGAAATCCTGCTAATAGAGAGAGAATAACAATGAGGTACAGTAAAGCTTTCCAGAAGGTTGTTAACAGCATTATGGTGTGAGGTGATGGTAGTAGAAATGTAATGAAGGACTACAGAAAGGAGAAATAGTTCTAAGATTTGATAAGACTTGCTGATGGATAGAATATAGATAATCAAGTAGTTAAAGATAGTCTCAAAGATTCAAGTGCAGGCTACTAATAAACATTGGAACTACTAGTAAAGATGGAAAATTAAGGAAATTCAAGTTGATTGTAGAGAAGATTATTAATTCTGTTTTAGGTATGTTGAGTTACAGGTGAAGGTGAGACATCTAAGTACAATAATGGGGCCAAAAATTAGTAAGATAAACAAAACAAATACAATAAATAAAAAATACATACATACTTTAGTTCCATATCGTTATGGTAGCCATTCCTGTGCTAACAAGATCTGAGCTGGATGAGGGACATGAAGGAAGCAGTGAGAATGATGAAGAAAAAGAGAAACATTAGATATGGAAGAAACATATATAAACAAAAGCATATGGAGAAGAAGGTAGACAGAAGAAAATGGGTGATGAGTGAAACAGTTAATATGGCATATGTTAAATTATTACCACTTGTTCACTTGTAATGAGGGCTTCTGCTGTTATTGTTCTTTGAAATTCTCATTAGCTAATTAAAATTCTCCAGGTATTTTTAAATGTTCAAATGTTTACTGCTCTCAAAATGAAACTGCTCTCAAATGAAACCCAAGGCAGAGCTGAAAATCTGTTCCTTGAGCTCTAGCTTCAGAAGCTAATGTAAAGTAATTCCAATGACTGGATTAAATTATGCTGATGATCATCCCCTCTCCTTCACCATCAGATGAGATTTCACCAAAATCCTTTTTTCCTCATTCTAATAATGTAAAACATCAGAGTACCAAAACGGCCCTCCCCATTTAGAAGTGACAGGAGTGCACACACTTCTCAAAATTAACTCAGTTCAAATGTACCTAATGCTACAAAATTAGAAGCCACTTCTTTCAGATACCCTCAACCTAGCAACAGGAAAATACCTTAACAAGTGGAAATTGTCATTTCTCTGAACATACACTCCTACTTTCAGAAGCCCTACCACTTCTATTTCTACACTTGCCTAAATCAACATTCTTCACAATCCTAGATAAAAACACATATCTCTATGGAACTTTCTGAGATATGTTGAATCACACTAAGTAGGAAACTGGAAGAGTAAAAGAACAGGATAAGAACTCAATAAATAAAAATAATTAATAGTTCTCTGATTCATATATTAAGCTAATCTCCACTGAAGTGGGCCTATTTCTGTGCCAGTTTCTTTTTTTTGTTAAATGAGAAAATGAGAAGCCAATTTATTCAGCTCCCGGGTGAGGTTCTGTGGTCCAGGAAGGGGCCAAAGAAGTCACACCCAGCTGTTTAGGTCATGGGGTTTTATGGGGAGGGAAGGAGATTGATTGGCTATTGGGAAAACAACGCAAAGGCAATTTTATTGGCTGTCAGGAAGCAGGAAGTACCTGAAACTAGTTGCCATTGGTAGGTGGGCAGGACTTTGGGTAAGTGGGCCTTGATTGGCTGTTGGAGAAACAAAGTGAAGGCAATCTTATTGGCTACTAAGAAGCAGGAAATGCCTGGAGCTAGTGGTCATGGGTAGGTGGGCCAGTTTCTATCTGCAGCACTGGAAATACAGATGAATTAGATGAAGTCCCTTGCCTCAAAGACCTTACATTCAAATGGGAGACAGACACATGGAGAGATAATTAGAAATGCAGGCTAAGGAAGCACAGAAGATTAACCTTGAAGTAAGTGAATGAGTGGGAGTTAGCCAGGAGAAGAGTGTTATGGGAATATTCCAGACAAAGTGGCAGCATGAACAAGGGCACAGAGACAAAAAACAGGGTAACGGTTTCTGGAAACCGCATATGGTTTGCAGGTACTGACCCACATAGATCATGCCAGGAAGTAGCAGGGGATAAGCCTGGAGAAGGCAGGCAGAAACAAGATGACGGAGAGCTATGGAGCTTAGATTTTATATTTAGAAGATGAAGGAACAATGAAGGGTTTTAAAGAATGGTAATGACACATGGAAATACTTACACTTTAAGTGAAACACTCTAGTGGTTAAATTGTGGGTGGGTTTGGGGAAACAAAACTGGAGGCAGAAAGAGTAGTTAAGAGGTTCTGGCAATTGCTTCTCAAAACTTATTAAGTACAAATCACCACGGATCATGTTAAAATGCAGATTCTGATTCTGTAGGCCTGCAGTGGGGCCTGACAGTCTTTGTTCTAACAAGTTCCCAGGTGATGCCAATGGCGTTGATCCACAACCCACACTCTGAGTAGCAAACCTCTAGGAAAGATCTTGAGGACCTGAAGAGCAGGGCTGGAGAGAAGGGGAGAGTAGTATTCAGGAGGTAAAAGAGTCACAGCTTGGTGCTTCATTAGATATACGAAGTGAAGAAGGTGGTGTTTGGGGGTTCATAGTTACCTGCAGGTTTCTACTTTGAATGACTAGGTGGATTTGAAATGGCTATGAGGCATCCAGGTGAAGCAGTAGCTGCCATTTGGATATGTGAATCTAATGCTTGACAGAAAGGTCATAAGCATACAGATGAGAAATGAAACCAGGGAAATAGAAATCGTGTTTGTAGAGTAAGGTCAAGGATGAAACCATGGGAATACCTACATCTAGGTAATGAATAAAAAAAGAGGCCACAGAGAAAACGAAAAAGAAACAGAAATACAGGAGAATAACCAGTGCATAAAGAGTTACATATGACAAAGAATAGAGCTTTAAGAAGGAGAGGATAATGAACATTTTCACATGAAGCAGAAAGGTTGGGTAAAGAAAGAACTGAAAAATAATAGTGAGTGGAAGAAAAGAAGTGGGTGGGAGAGAGAATATGAAAGGGGAATAAAATACACTAGTAGTGAGAAGGTGCCTGTGGGGGGAAAAATGAAAAAAAAAATATGGTTAGAAGAGCAAGTGGATCACTCCAGTCAGGATCAGTCTCTTTACTGTGCCTCAATTCTTGCCATTCTTTCTTAGCTCCAAGCCCTTTGGTTCATCCTTTCTTCTTCCCACTTCTATCACTTGAAAATCATCTAAATATATGAATATTTTTCTGGAACATTATGCTTCACTCCCCTAGTTACCAAAAATATGTACACAAAAATGCATGTCTGTCAGCTCTTGCAATGAAGTATTATTAACCTAACTAGTTTACACACTTGCTCCTTTAGGGAACTGTATTCCCAAGAATGACTAGTCTAGCACCAAAGAGACACTTAAACAATACTTAGTAACAAAATGATATAACCACATGATACTAATTTAAAATGCTTTCTTATGTATGTACTTAAGGAACCTTATTTACCTAAAATGACATGAAACCATGAGAATTCCTGTATTTGATTCTAAAATTAATGGGGATCATCTGAACCATTCAGGGTCTCATTTCCTAAAAATGAACAGATCAAGCTACATGGACTTGAAAGTCCTTACTTATCTAAAATTCTATGATTCCATGAATACTACCAACTTCTCACTCAATAAGAGTAAAATGGTATGTAAATAAGCTAGTATGTTTTATAAAATACAAACTTCCTATGAAAAAGTTTTGTGAAAACTTTACTGTTTACCATTTGCATTTGATTTTTCTGGAAGAGCCTTCTCTCTTATTTTGTTTACAAATGTCTTCCTAGCTTCATTTCTTTTGTGTTTTTTTTTTCCCCAACATAATCTTGTTGGGCCATTACTGGACTATAGAAGGAAGCAGGATATAGCTTGCAAAATTTGTTTGGATTATTCAAACCCAAATCACTGCTGGAAAAGGAAGGCATAGTCTTGTCTTTAATCCCACCTGGAGGAGGCTTGACAGCAAGGGGCTTCAGGAACGTTGACGCTGCAGAAGTAGTAAGAGGCACTCCTGCTGAAATAGTTGTAATAAGAAATGATAAGCACATGTTCAGATATTAAAACTGCATTTATTGTAAAGTACTAAAGTTAAGAATTCTCTAAAAACCCACTCTCTGGACTTTTTGTTTTTTTCAACAAACAGCTGCTGGATAAAGGTTCTAAAGTAAAAAAGAATTTCCTTCTGTGAGAATGAAAATGTGAATATGAATCTGTCACCAAGTTTGATATGAGAAGGAAGAAATGTTCTGTACTAGGAATTGCCTAGTTATATCCATATAAAAAATCAGTGAAAGCATGATAGCCATCGTAAGATGATTCTTTGAAATTAGTGAGGATAAAACATGATACTAACTTCTAAGTTAGTCTTTCTTGAATAAGATAGTAAGGCATTCATTCATTCTACATTTGTGATGTCTGCATCAGAATAAAATATATACAGTTGTTTAAGACTATAAAACTATACATGTTCCCACAATTCCAGTATTTCATACCTCTTTTATTTATTCTCCTCTCTGAACTCAAGATGATAAATTTGGGGACTGAAGATAAAGCTTTTACAAAATGTTTTTTCTTGTAGGGCATAGTGATTTGATCTATCTTTTCAATGACAGGCAGAAAAAATGTACACAAATTAGAGACTAAATTTAAAAATAATTCTGGTTTCATTTATTAATAAAATGAAAGTTTTAATAACATATCTCATAGCATTGATTTTTCTGGGTGACATTTATACTATGAGTTCAAAATTAATGATGGTGAATTTTCAATGCCAGGCATGCCTTAGTCCTAAAGTGTTGAAGTTACAAAGAATGTGGTAAATTATTTACTACATAGGATTGATCATCTTTTTTTGTTCTGGCACATGCACTTAGAAAAATAGAAGTTGGGTTTTCCAGGGTATACTCTGCCATCTCAGGCAACTTTGGGTCAGTTTTCCCATATGCGCTCGTGACCCAACATCATTGGAAGAAGGAAAGACATAATGTTTTATACTTCCCTTTATCTTTAGGGTTTAACATAATATAAGTACTCAGTAACTAATTGATGATGCTGGTACTACTTTATATTCACAGGGAGAAAGAAATAGGCTGTCATGATAGAAAGAAATTCAGTAACTTTTTTTTGCCTACAGTTAGTAGGAAACATATCACTACATTCTGGTGAAGACATTGATTTGAACACTCTTATGAGATAATGTTTTGGAAAATACTAAAGCAAAAAAGATGCCAAGGGGAAGAAGCAAAAAGTGAAGATTTTATTATTTGATTAGAAACTGACAGAGCTCAGCTGCTTACTGTTGTTTCTTTATAGCAGTACAGCAAATCACTTGCTATTGTTTGGATTTGGTGAACAGAAAAGGAGAGGTCATAACGTTTCTTAAAAATCAGCTAGCAATTAAAATCTTCATACTAAATGACAAAGACAGAGACAGAGATTAACTGGGCAGAAGAATAATGATCAAGTTATTTCAACTGGGGTGAAAGTCTCCCCAATAAAAAGTGTATGGCAGAGTTAAACAAAACATGATAGGTAGATCCTGCACTGAAGACAAAGAGGTGAACAGAACCTTACCCATCTCTGGTTGAAATCCTGATGGAGATGCCTGATCATGTTTCTCCATTAATTGCTTCAGTTTTTTAGCATGGATGTTTCCCACATAGTGAGACTGAGCAATAAGTGGGGAGCTAAACATTATGTTGCAGAGATCACAAAATCTGTTTTTGTCTACTCCTTCATTCCTATGCACCTGAAACAGGCACAATCTTGTTAGAAAGATTCAATAACTAAAAGTTTAGAATTACAATATCAACATACATTACTCACTTGAAAATTCTCAACATGCATCTTGGTTTTCTTATCAGGCACTTCATTTTGCTCCCCATGCATTTGAAAATAAAAACTAACATTTTGAGCATGTTTTTCACCCTGAAAAAAGATATAATATGACTTTATTTATTCAATAAAAGAGTCATTCAAAATTTATACCTTTCTGAATTTGAGGATGGCACTCGTGGGTTAATATATTTAGTCAAACTTGGTACAGACTCACATGCCTTCAAATCTCTAAATGTTGGTTAAAATGAAAATAATACTAAATTTAGAAGCTAATAACTTTCAGATTCTTGCTTTTGAAATGGATTCCTAGTTGCTGCCCAATATCAAATATCTTTTTTTTACTTAGTCACTGATCTTGAACAATGTACCCAGCTAAAAGACTATGTTTTTCAGCCTTCCTTTCTGCAAGATGCAGCCATGTGACTAGATTCTGGTCAATAAGCTATAATTTGAAGTGTTATGAGGAACTTCTGGGAAGCCTCCTTAAATGACTGGGCCATAAGCCCTTATTCTACTCTACTTCCTTCCTGCTTCTGAAATTAAGATACAAAGGATGGAGTTCCAACAGTCATCTTTGGACCATGGTAGACATTCAGGAGGAAAACCAGTTCATCAGAGCAGAAAGAAGGAATATGCCTAGGTCCCTGATAATGTTATCAAGCTGTCATGTCAGCCCTGTACTACCTACCTGCAAATTCTTTTTTTAAAATTTAAGTTCTGGGGTACATGTGCAGACTGGGCAGGATTGTTACATAGGTATACACATCCTATGGTGGTTTGCTGCATCCATCCTCCTATATTATGTATTTCTCCTGTTACGCCTCCCCAATCCCCTACCACCTGCTATCCCTCCCCTACACCTCTACCCCCAACAGACCCCAGTGTGTGATGTTTCCCTCCCTGTGTCCATGTGTTCTCATTGTTCAACACCCACCTATGAGTGAGAACATGCAGTGTTTGATTTTCTGTTCTTGTGTCAGTTTGCTGAGAATGATGGTTTGCAACTTCATCCATGTCCCTGCAAAGGACATGAACTCATCCTTTTTATGGCTGCATAGTATTCCATGGTGTATATGTGCCACATTTTCCTTATCCAGTCTATCTTTGATGGGCATTTGGGTTGGTTCCAAGTCTTTGCTATTGTAAACAGTGTTGCAATGAACACACTGTGTGTGTCCTTACAATAGAATGGTTTATAATCCTTTGGGTATATGCCCAGTAATGGGATTGCTGGGTCAAATGGTATTTCTATTTCCAGATTCTTGAGGAATCACTACACTGTCTTCCTCAATGGTTGAAATAATTTACACTCCCATCAACAGTGTAAAGGCATTCCTATTTCTCCATATCCTCTCCAGCATCTGTTGTTTCCAGATTTTTTAATCATCGCCATTCTAACTGGTGTGAGATGGTATCACAATGTGGTTTTGATTTGCATTTCTCCAATGACAGTGATCATGAGCATTTTTTCTTATTTTTTTGGCCGCATAAATGCCTTCTTTTGAAAACTGTCTGTCCATATCCTTTGCCCACTTTTTGATGTGGTTGTTTGTTTTTTTTTCTTGTAAATTTGTTTTGGTTCTTTACAGATTCTGGATAATACCCCTTTGTCAGATGGGTAGCTTGCAAAAATTTTTTCCCATTCTCTTGGTCGCTGGTTCACTCTAATGGCTGTTTTGTTTGCTGTACAGAAGCTCTTAATTAGATCCCATTTGTCTATTTTGGCTTTTGTTGCTATTGCTTTTGGCATTTTAGTCATGAAGTCATTGCCTATACCTATGTCCTGAATGGTACTGCCTAGGTTTTCTTCATTGACCTTCTTCATAGAACTGGAAAAAAAATCTTAAACTTCATATGGAACCAAAAAAGAGCTTGCATAGCCAAGACAATCCTAAGTAGAAAGAACAGAGCTGGAGGCAGCATGCTACCTGACTTCAAACTATACTACAAGGCAACAGTAATCAAAACAGCATGGTACTGGTACCAAAACAGACATATAGACCAATGGAATAGAGCAGAGACCTCGGAAGTAATGCCACACATCTACAGCCATCTGATCTTTGACAAACCTGACAGAAACAAGCAATGGGGAAAGGATTCCCTGTTTAATAAAAGATGTTGGGAAAACTAGCTAGCCGTGTGCAGAAAGCTGAAACTGGACCCCTTCCTTACACCTTGTACAAAAATTAACTCCGGATGGATTAAAGATTTAAACATAAGACTTAAGACCATAAAAGCCCTAGAAAAAAAACCTAGGCAAATTATTTTATGTGAGAAAAGAAATCCTTCTGGGTTTAAGAGACATTAGAAATAATCTGTAACAAATATATAACCAAATATGTAAGAGTAGCTAAGATGATGGTGTACGGGGAAGGGAAACTAACATTTCCTGAGCACACAATGTAAGGCAATCACTCTCTCTACAGAATTTTATTTATTTTTTAATTAAATTTAATTTTTCCATAAGTTATTGGGACACAGGTGGCATTTGGTTGCATGAGTAAGTTACTTAGTGGTGATTTATGAGATTTTGGTGTATCCAGAACCCGTGAAGTATATGCTGCATCATATTTGTAGTCCTTTATCCCTTGCCCCCTTCCACTCTTCCCTCCAGTCCCAAAAATCCACTGTATCATTCTTATGCCTTTGTGTCCTTGTAGCTTAGCTCCCACATATCAGTGAGAGCATATGATGTTTGGTTTTCCATTCCTAAGTTACCTCACTTAGAATAATAGTCTCAAATCTCATCCAGATCACTGCAAATGCTGTTACTTCATTCCTTTTTATGGCTGAGTAGTAGTCCATTATATATATATGTATATATATATAGTAGTTTCTTTATCCACTCTTTGATTGATGGACATTTGGGTTTGTTCCACGATTTTGCAATTGTGAACTGTGCTGCTATAAACATGTGTGTGCAAGTATCTTTTTTGAATAATGACTTCTTTTCCTCTGGGTAGATAGCCAGTAGTGGGATTGCTGGATGAAATGATAGTTCTACTCTTAGTTCTTTAAGGAATCTCCACATTGTTTTCCACAGTGGCTGTACTAGTTTACATTCCCACCACCAATGTAGAAGTGTTCCCTGTTTACCACATGCACACCAACATCTACTGTTATTTGTTTATTTTTTGTTTATGGCTATTCTTGCAGGAGTAAGGTGGTATTGCATTGTGGTTTTGATTTGCGTTTCCCTGATCATTAGTGATATTGAGCATTTTTACATGTTTGCTGGCCATTTGCACGTCTTCTTTTGAGAACTGTCTATTCATATCCTTAGCCCACTTTTGATGGGATTTTTTTTCTTACTGATTTGTTTGAGTTCATTGTAGATTCTGGATATTAGCCCTTTGTCAGAAGTATAGATTGTGAAGTTTCTCTCACTGTGGGTTGTCAGTTTACTCTGTTGACTATTCCTTTTGCCATGCAAAAGCTCTTTAGTTCAATTATGTCCCAGCTATTTATGTTTGTTTTATTGCATTTGCTTTTGGGTTCTTGGTCATGAAATCCTTGCCTAAGCCAATGTCTAGAAGGGTTCTTCCAATTTTATCTTCTAGAATTTTTATAGTTTCAGGCCTTAGGTTTAAGTCTTTAACCCATCTTGGCTTGATTTTTGTGTAAGGTGAGAGGTGAGGATTCAGTTTCATTCTCCTACATGTGACTAGCCTATTATTCCAGCACTATTTGTTGAAAAGGGTGTCCTTTCTCTACTTAATGTTTTTGTTTGCTTTGTTGAAGATCAGTTGGCTGTATTTGGGTTTATTTCTGTTTCATTGGTGTATGTGCCTTTTTTTATACCAGTATCATGCTGTTTTGGTGACTATGGCCTTATAGTATAGTTTGAAATCAGGTAGTGTAATGCCTCTAGATTTGTTCTTTTTCCTTAGTCTTGTTTTGGCCATGTGGGCTATTTTTTGGTTCCATATGAATTTTAGAATTGTTTTTCCTAAGTTTGTGAAGAATGATGGTGGTATTTTGATGGGGATTGCACTGAATTTCTAGGTTGCTTTTGGCACAGAATTTGTAGACCTCATTTTCACAATATTGTTTGCACCCATCCATGAGCATTGGATGTGTTTCCATTTGTTTGTGTCACCTATGATTTCTTTCAGCAGTGTTTTGTTGTTTTCCTTGTAGAGGTCTTTCAACTCCTTGATTAGTTAGTTATATTCCTATTTTCTTTTCTTCCTTTTTTTTTTTTTTTTTTTTGCAGCTATTGTAAAAGGGGTTGAGTTCTTGATTTCATTCTCTGCTTAGTTGCTGTTGGGATGTAGAAGAGCTACTGATTTGTGTACATTAACCTTGTATCCAGAAACTTTGCTGAATTCTTTTATCAGTTCTAGGAGCTTCCTGGAGGAGTCTTTAGGGTTTTCAAGGTAAACGATCATATCATCAGCAAACAGTGACAGTTTGGCTTCCTCTTTATCAGCTTGGATGCCCTTTATTTTTTTCTCTTGTCTGATTGCTCTGGCTAGGTCATCCAGTACTATGTTAAAGGGGAGTGGTGAGAGTGGGCATCCTTGTCTTGTTCCATTTCTCAAAGGGAATACTTTGAACTTCCCCCACTCAGTATTATGTTGGCTGTGGGTTTGTTATAGATGGCCTACAGAATTTCAAAATGTGAAATACACCCATTGTATAGGAAAGAACAGGAAATATTATTGAAACACATACTCACTATTCAGTTTTAACATTTTGTTGCATTTCTCTCAAATTTCCTTTTTAAAAGAGGTAAAATTTTAGATACAATCCTATACCCTCATGCTCACAATCCTTTCTTCCTCTCTCTCTCCACATAAGTAATCACTGTCTTAAAGTTGGTGTACCTGATCTCCTTTTATGCTTTTATTCTTTTACTACACAAATGTATCCATAAATAGTTTTATATATTACTACCTTGTAAATTTTTTTTTTCAAAAATGTAATCATTTGCTACATATCCTTTTCATACTGTTTTTTAAAACTCAGTATTTTGGAGGATGTGGAGAAATAGGAACGCTTTTACACTGTTGGTGGCAGTGTAAATTAATTCAACCATTGTGGAAGACAGTGTGGCAATTCCTCAAGGATCTAGAAATAGAAATACCATTTGACCCAGCAATCCCATTACTGAGTATATACCCAAAGTGTAATAAATCTTTATAAATGCATATTATAAAGACATATGCACACGTATGTTAAATTGTGACACTGTTTACAATAGCAAAGACTTGGAGCCAACCCAAATGCCTATCAGTGTTAGACTGGATAAAGAAAATGTGGCACATATATACCATGAAATACTATGCAGTCATAAAAAGCATGAGTTCATGCCCTTTGCAGGGACATGGATGAAGCTGGAAACCATCATTCTCAGCAAAGTGACACAAGGACAGAAAACCAAACACCTCATATTCTCATTCACAAGTGAGTGTTGAACAATGAGAACACATGGACACAGGGAGGAGAACATCACACACAGGGTCCTGTTGGGGGTGGAGGGGCTAGGAGTAGGATAGCAGGGGTTGGGGGGATTGGGGAAGGATAACATTAGGAGAAATACCTAATGTAAATGATGATGGAATGAATGCAGCAAGCCACCATGGCATGTGTATACCTATGTAACAATCCTGCACAAACTGCACATATACCCCAGGACTTAAAGTATAATAAAACAAAACAAAAAAAACCCAAACCCCAAAACCTTATTAAAGCTATTATTGAAAAAAAATAAAAAAAATTTAAAAAGACTTATTGATACTGATACATGTAGCTCTGGTTCATTCATGCTACATACTGTATAATATTCTAGTCCATATGCTACCTATCCAGTTTCCTGTTTAGGACAATTATGTTTCAGTTTATTTTGCTAATAGAGGCATTGCTGCAATTAACATATATAAATAGATCTCCCAATATACATGTTCAAGAGTTCCTTTAGAATAGATACCTAGAAGTGGAATTCTTGGCTTATAGAGTGTGGATTTTCAACTTTACCAGGTATTAGAAAATTTTGATGCAGTGTTAAGTGTTATTAGATTTTAATTTTTGCCAGTATTATGGTTCTTATATGATATTTCATTATCATTTTAACTTCCATATCCTGTATAATCATTAGTGAAGTTGAGTATCTATTCTATGGCTTGTTCACATTACTTTCCCATTTTCCTATTTGTTTCCTGTTCTAATTGATGTGTGATCCTTTACATATTCTAGACACAAGTCTTTCATTAGCTATATAGGTTATAAATATCACCTAATGTGCAGCATATATTTTTAACTTAATTTATCATTTTTTAATTTTTTAAGATCTTATAAATTTCTTCTACAGATATTGTGACTTATTTGAAAGCTGTGACTTATTTTAAAGGTGAAATTGTTGCAGATATAGGAAACCAGGCCAATACAATAAAACAGGATAAAAGCCTCAAAACAAATCTATATATATGTAGAAATTAGCATATGATAGAAGTGCCACTACAAATCAATGGGGTAAGGATGGACTATACAATAAACAGTGCTGGAACAACTGGCTATCCATATGAAAAAAATGTTATCACACTCCATACACGAAAATCAATACCAGATGGATTATAACATAAGAAGTAAAACTTCAAAGTTTTAGAAGAATATAAAGGAAAGTATCTATATGACACAACTGTATAGAATGGTTTCTTAAAACACATACACACAAACACAAAAGAAATATTAATAAATGCAACCTCATTAAACTGCAATACTGCTATATTTTACAATACTATACTGAGAGAGTCTGTATATCTTTTTTTGTAAAAATGTATGTGTATATGTGTATGTGTGTTTAGAAATCATATTGGAATCATAGAAGCAAAAGAGGAATACAATAATGGTTAACTACAAGTTACAGAATTATACTTATTTTCTCGTATTTTTGCCTATTTTCTAGAGTGAATAGTACTTTATGATTTCACAAAAAGCTGTTTTTCACATGTAAATTAAAACAGTTCAAATGGATAAATTGTAGTTATCTCAGAGTCTCCTGAATGTCTGTCTTTGTTACTAATTCTAAATCTGATCTATGGAGTTTAAAGATGTGCTAGGCACTCTCATACATTTGATTTCACTTAATTCTCACAAGTATAGTAAGATATTTTACCACTCTCATTTTATAGGTCCAAGAAATATGTTCAGAAAGGTAAAGTGACTTGCCAAAGCTTATATAACTAGTCAATGGTGGAGTCAAGACTTAAACCTAGCTCCTCTCAATCCAGTCAACACAATTTCCCTATCTGTAATTATAGCAATTTAATTTCAGCCAAGATTAGGACTAAAATATAATTACCAATAAGATTAGCAATGGGAAGAACAAGATGAGGTGTTTAAAAAAGAACTAGCATTACATTAGTTTTAATTGAATGTATCTTATACTTTTGGTAACCTAGATACCAGACATGAAAGAAATCCAACAGCTCATCAGATGATGTACAAATATGAAGCAGCACCAAATGAAGGGAAAGAACACTGGATATGAAATCAGAATAAACCATTTTTAGGCTTAGTCATACCAGTGACCAGCCATGGAGAATTATTAACCCTCTGGGTCTCAGTTTTCTATAAACGAAGAGAGTAAGGACATTAAACGTTCTGTTTTAGCTCTAGGAGTCTACGGTCCTGTGTCTAAAACATGTGGCTCAATCAACTAGTTAGTTTTGTTTTTATCGTCTTCATTTGCTGTAAACAAAGACTCTGGGAGTTCTAGATGATATCCCTTGATTCACATTTAGTTTTCTATGCAAGCTCATAATGCCTCTCTTATATTTAATACAAGGACGGATGACTTGATGGATACAAAGGGAGGCAGAGCGATGTGAAAAAAGAAAAAATCTTTGGAGTAAAAAGACTGAGTTTAATCTGAATTCCCCAAACTTCAAGTAGTATATTACCATCCCTTTCTGAGCCAGTCTCCTCATCCATCAAAGGAAAATAATACTACCTTTTTCACAGGATTCTTGTAAGAATCAAGTAAAATGACTTATAAGAAGTTTACTTGCTACATTTAGAAACTGCTTTAGACCCTATTACTATTATTTTTAACCTACCTCATAATGTGAAATTCTTTGTGATTCAAACTGTAGCATCACTCCACATACTTGACAAAACTTATCTGTAAAAAGTTCAGCCTTTTTCTGTTTATTCCAAATGGCATCTGTGAATAAAAAAGGGAAGACAAATATATCACATTAATAAATACTTAGAGATATCATTTTCATTCCTCAACTATATATGATTTTATATGCCACTTCAAATTTGAGTGCTTGTGAGACTAGAGTAACAGCCTTTTGTTCGAGTATGCAATTTAAATTTAATATACACATACTAAGTATCCCTCTAATGTCAGATATAACAAAGAGTTTATTTAGTATGATAAGTCTAGGCAATGGCATTCTAAGGAATCATTATGGGGGCATCAGTAATTTCATGAGCTTCATGGAATGATTTTGGACACCAGTAATTAAAGGCTGGATTTCTAAATGCAGCCTTGGCCAGGTGCAGTGGCTGATTCCTGTAATACCAGCACTTTGGGAGGCTGAAGTAGGAGGATCGCTTGAGGCCAGGAGTTTGACCAGCCTGGGCAACACAGCAAGACATCATCTCTACAAAAAATAGAAATAAAAATTAACTGGGCATCATGGCACACGCCTGTGGTCCTAGCTACTCCAGAGGCTAGGATGATCACTTGAGCCCAGGATGTTGAGGCAGTTGAGGCTGCAGTAAGGTATGACTGTGCCTTTCAGCCTGGGTAACAGCAAGACACCGTTTCAAACAAATGAACAAAGAAACAACCAACCAAAAAACAAACCAGAAAACCAACCAACCAAACAAAAAACAGCCTTGATGTTTTGTGTTTTATAGCAGACAACCCTAAGAAATGCTTTGCTTTAGGACTGTCACTTGTCACAGGATTCTCTTAAGAATCAAGTAAGAGATTTTTACCACTCTCATTTTACAGGTCCAAGAAACATGAAGCTATGCCTTCAATGTTATCTAGAAATTACAAGGAACCACAAACTATCTTTGCCCGTAGTAGGCAAACATCCTTCATAACTGTACAAACACTAGCACACTCATGTGGCCAAACAAGTCTCATACAAGCCCCTCAAAACTATAATGTAATGTTCATATACTAAGATCTAGAAATATATGCTATAGTGTTTATCACTGTAATAAATAATACATGCCAAAACTTTCTGCATTTATACTTGAGGTCTATACTGTCATCTAAAATTCTTAAGAGCTACAACGTATTCTGCCAAAGTTTATCCATTTTTCTGTACAGTGTAAATCATAAACACCAAAATTCTCATTGTTATTTGGCTATGAAAGTGGATAAGTTGGTACCAAATGCTTTCGCAAAGAGATGCCAATTGCATATTAAATGAATAAAAAGTTGTAGAACAAATACAATATATCCAACTCCCAATAATAACAAAAATTAAATATATGCACAGAAAAATCTGGAATAAAATAAACCATATTTACAAATGGTTAACTCTGATAAGTGGGGCTAGAAAAGAAACAAGGAGAGACAACTTAATGTTTAACTCTCTGTACAGCTGTATTAATTTTTGCAGAAAAGCATGCAGGACTTTCTAGTTTAAAAACCATTAGGAAGAACATCATCAAGATGGTGGAATAGGACTTTTCAGCACTCATCTCTCTATAGAAACGTCAATTAAAACAACTATCCACACATGTAAATAGCTTCACAAGAACCAAAAAACTAAAAAGCAAAACAAATAGGCAGGAGATTATAGCAGCATCTGGGTGTAGCACAGACATAAGGTACGTTCAAGAAGGTAGGAAAGATAGTTTCACATTATCAGCATCAGCTCTCTACCAACTCCGGTATAGAGTGGAGAGAGATACCCTCTGTGTGAGAGAAATAGAGGGAAGTGAGCACTGAACTTTCATTCAGCTCTAAAACTGGACCCATGCCAATAATACCCAGTGCTAAGAAAGCCCCCACAGCCTCCAGGTCAGTGGACTCAACCTCCAGGCCTGCCCCAGTCACAAGCTGAATCATTCAACCCCAACCTCCAGGCCTGTACAGTGAAGTTGGTCTTCAGGTTACCTCAACATCAGGCTAACCTCAGCAGTACCAAGCCCTCAACCACCCCCAGCATTGGACTAGCTCCCAAGGCTCCTGGCTTCAGGCCAGGGCCAGCCCCAGCACCTGGCCAACCCCTACAGCCCTAGTCATAAGGCAGGCACCTGCAGACTCAGCCTCGAGACCAGCCCCTGGAGGAGGCTGATATAGGCCCCAAGAGGCTGGTACCCACAGACTGAGCCTCCAGGCCCACCCCAGAACCAGGCAGGATTCCATAGCCCCACCCTCTAGGCTGGCTCCTGTAGCCCTTGCTGGATCTCCTGCAGCTCAGTGTTCCAGCAGACCCAGGGCCCAGGACAGTTCCAGTAGACCACAGTGCTGGACTGGCTGCTATGGACCTAGGTGCCAGGACCATCCCTGTGTTACCAAGTTCCAGGCTGGGCCCTGTGGCTCCAAGACCCATGTTAGCCCCAAGGGACCTAACCTCTAAGCTAGCCCTTGCACATCAAGTCTCTGGGCTTGCTTCTACAGACTCAGGCTCCAGGCCACCCTCAGTAGTTCCAGGCATTGGGCTAGCACCCACAATTCTGGGCTCCAGACCAGACTGTGGTTCCACGCTCCACACTGGTTCCAGCACCAGGCCCCAGGCTCCAGGCTTATTCTAGAAGACTCGGCCTCCATGCCCACTCCCATATACCCCAGTACCAGGCAGGACCCCTTGGACTGAGGCTCCAGGACCACACATGCAGACTTGGGCTCCAGTCCTTTCTCAATTATCCCAGGAACCAGGTATCTCAGTGATCATTTCAATAATCCAAGACACCCCAGTGCTAGGCTAGCCTCCATGAACTCAGGCTCCAGGCCCATGCCAGTGGTCCCAGGTGTCAGGCCCATCCAGTGTTCAGCCATCTCCTACAGACTGAGGTTCAAGCCCTACCCCAGCACCAGGTGAGCCCTTGTGGACCAGGCTTCAGGCAGGTTCCTGTGGATGATACAGGCTCCAGGCCCACCCTCGTGGACACAGGCTCCAGGCCCATCCCTCAAGACCCAATCAACAGGTCCACTGCAGCAGATTTGGGCTTCAGGCCCAACCCTGAGGACCCAGGTACCAGGCCCACCCATCTGCTAACCCAGGTAGTAGGCCAGCCTGTCCAAGGATTCCAGCAACAAGCACATCAAGGATCATACTAGATGGCCTGCCAAGAATCTCTGGATGGGCTGACTGGTGAAGGGCTTTCCCAGAAAAATTAAGTCTGCAAAAACTGGAATAAGTCCTTACATTTCTTTAAATGCACAGACATTAATGTAAGGCAATGAGAAACATGAAAAACAAAGGAGACATAACACCACCACAAGAACACAATTTCTTAGTAGCTGACCCCTATATAAACTATCTGACAAATATTCAAAATAACTGTTTTCAGGAATCTCAGTAAACTTAAAAAAAAAAAGAGAGAGAGAGAAACAATTTAATAAAATCAAGAAAAAAATAAATGACCAAAATTAGACATTAACAGAGAGATTGAAATTATATTTTTAAAAGGTCAAATTCTGGAGCTTAAAAAGACCATGAATGAAATGAAAAATGTAACAGCATCAACCCCAGAATTGATCAGGTAAAAGAAATAATATATGAACTCAAAGATAAGCTATGTGAAAATATACAGTAAGAGGAGAAAAAAGAAAAAAAAAAGAATGAAAAGGAATGAAGAAAGCTTACAGGATATATGAGCAGCATCAAAATAGCAAATGTTTGGGTTATAAGAGCTCATAAAGGAGAAAAGAAAAACAATGGGATGGAAAGCTTATAAATAAATAATAACTAAAACCTTTCCAAATTTGGAGAAAGATATACATATCCAGGTATAGGAAGGTCAAAGGTCTCCAATGAGATTCAATCCAAAAAAGACTACTCCAAGATAAACTACAATCAAATTGCCAACAATTATGGACAAAGAGAGGATTCTGAAAGCAGGAAGAGAAAAGAAGCAAAAAACATAACATATAAAGGAGTTTCCATAAGGCTAGCAGCAGGCTTCTCAACAGAGGTCTTATAGGCCAGGAGAGAGTAGGATCATACATTCAACATGCTGAAGGAAAAAAACCCTGCCAACCTAAATTACTGAACCCAGCAAAACTTTTCTTCAGAAATAAAAGAGAAAGGCTCTCAGGCAAACAAAAGCTGAGGGAGTTTATTCTCACCTGGGCTGTCTTACATGAAATGCTAAAGGGAGTTCTTCAATATGAAAGAAAAATATGAAAATTAGTAACACGAAAACATATGAAAGTATAAAACTCACTGGTAAAAATCAAATTCAGAAAACTTTAATACTGTAATAGTGGTATGTAAATCACTTATGTATTTAGTGAAGGTAAAAGACAAAACTATTGAGAATAATAATAGGTACAATAATTTATTAAGAGATATACAATATAAAAATGTAAATCATGACATTAAAAATATAAAATGTGCTGGGTGGAAAAGTGTAGAGTGTTTTATATGATCAAAGTTAAGTTGTTAGCAGCTTGAAATAGCCTGTTAAAACATAAGATGTTTTTATAAATCTCATGGGAACCACAAAGCAAAAACCTACAGTAGATACCCAAAAGATAAAAAGTAAGGAATCAAAGCATACCACTAGAGAAAATCACTTAATAACAGAGAAAAACAGCATGACATGAAGGAACAAAAGATCTATAAACAACCAGAAAACAATTAATAAAATGACAGTAATAAGATCTTGCATATCAATAATTACCTCAAACGTAAATATGTTAGATTTTCCAATTAAAAGATGTGGGGGAGAGGCAGGAGGATTGCTTGAGCCCAGGAATTAGAGACTAGGCTGGGCAACATAGCGAGACCCCATCTCAAGAAAAAGAAAAAGATACAGAGTGGCTGAGTGGATAAAAAACAATAGCAACTATATGCTGCCTACAAGAAAGACTTATTTTATCTTGTGGGAACACATACAAACTGAAAGTGAAGGGATGAAAAAAGATATGCCACACAAATGAAAACTAAAATAGAACAAGAGTACCTATACTTAAATTAGATAGATGCCATTGAAGATAATTATTTTAAAAGTTATATTAGA